AATATATATCAGTACCTCAGCTAGCTTTATTTGCATTACTTATAACCACCTGAAGGGAATAGGAACTACCATAGCCAGTTCTGGATATATCAGTGCATGGGAACAAGACTGGATTTAACTAATGCGGAAGCAATTGTTCTGCTTTCTAGAGGAGCCATTCAAATTGTCTCCTACACCATGAGTGTTACAGCTTCTGTCTAGATGTCCTCTCAAAACCTATGTAGTTATACATGAGTGTTTTTCAGAGGTGGCTGGATCTAGAGTGCATGATGCTCGAATTGATTCATAGTACAGTGCTAGGATCAGAGACACTAGGATTAAGGGTGTGAATGCTCCCCACCCTGGATAAGATATAAGGGATTGGAAGAGCCATGTGGCTCTTGTGGCTTTGCTACTTTCTGCTTGCTATGGACTGTTTCTCCTCTGCAATGCCTGTCTGCCCTGCCACACTACCTTGGAGCCAGCTTACTGTGGACTGAAACCTCTACAAACTGTGAGCTAAATAAATCTTGCTTCTTTAACTTTGGGTGTTGGGTATTTTGTCTCAGGAAGAAGAAAAGTAAGTAAGACAATGAGCCATAATAAACCTCTTTTCTTTTTCTTTTTCTTTTTTTTTTTTTTTGGTACCGGGGATCATGACTGTGCGCTTTGCAAGGCAGGTGCTTATGCCGCTGAGCTAAATCTCCAGCCCCTATAAATCTCTTTATAAGCAGCTTGCCTTAGGTATTTCATTATAGTAGTGAAGATCAGACTAAATAAAGATGCAGTGGATGCAGGAGGATTCCTGTGACTTTGAGGCCAGCTTGGGCTATGGAGTGAGACTTTTGTCTCAAAAATAATAAATAAGGGGCTGGGGATTTAGCTCAGCAGCATAAGCACCTGCCTGGTAAGCACAAGGATGTGAGTTCAATTCCCAGTAACCCCCCCCCCCCAAAAAAAAAGTAAATGAGTAAATAAGCATTAAGTTAATTGTGACTATAAATGCTGCTCAGACAAGATCTGTCTGTCTATACTGATGTAGGTGAAAAAGTATTTTTTAAAAAAAGGCAGAAAGAGGCCATAACCAGGAGGCTTGACAGTCAATCTGGAAATCTACGAAAAATTCAAAATAATGTTTCTGTGGAAAGCCATGATAGATAACAGGTAGAAGAATCCTAGAGGCACTTGTGTGGCAGAAGGTGAGAAAAAAATCAAGGATTTTTCTTTATCCAAGATGCCAAGGCCAGAAAAAGTTTTGTTAACTGAAAGTAGCTTTGTGTTAGTATGCTTTCTGAGTCGTGCCTAAAAATTCTGGGCTTCTCTGTGATTTCCTTACATTTGATGCAAGGAAGATGGAGGCCTAGGAGAGAACTGTGAAGGACCCATGCATTTCCTGGAGCCCTGGGGTCCTACAGAAGTGGGACCGATAAGCACAGGTCCCTTACTGATGCTCATTCCATTCAGTGATTCTTTAGCTGGGTCATTTTCTTCTCTAGACTTTTGTTTTCCTAGTCTATAAGTAAGGCGATGAGATCAAATTTTTGAGTTTTGAGTTATAAAACTTCTTGTTCAAGTGAAAAGTGACATAGGTACCCAATGTGCAGAATAATTAGAATATGACATAAAGAGGAGGAGTGGTCAGCAGTTGTTGCCCAGAGGGGCCAGCTGTCTTTCCCGGCATTGCACTCTCTTGGCTACATGGGAATCCACCATGTGCGTTTATTTGTAAGACAACATGGTGGCAGAAACCCTGCTGATATGGTTTATTATTGAAAACAATGCCAAGAGTTTGGAATCCCTTCAGACCAAGGTTAAAAGCTTATGGTCAGACTCATTCTACAGAGGTGAGAGCACTTTTGGCTGCCTGAAATTGTTCCTGGAACGATGCATTGTACGTCTCAGTTTATTTACTAGGGAAGTGGAGTCGACTGTCAAATTGTGCTCCTGGGCAAAGGGCAGAAGGATAGTTAGTGGGATGCTTGGCAGAAAAAAACCCTGCTACAGAAATTTCTTGTAATGATGATCTTTTAATTTGATATTTGAGAAGAAACTCTGTGTCTAGGAGCTTGCCATCCCAGCCTTGGCAGAGCAAGCAGGAACTAATTGAATATTCCCCAGCCGGAGAGTCACTTTACAAAATCACTGAGTCCATTTGGTGGTATAGTTGAGTAAGTTTGCTTCTCCATTACAGGAATGGATTTGTCCCAAATAATGGATTTATCTCATGTACCCCATAAGCAATGGGTATTGAACCATAGTCTCCCCTGGGTTTGTAGCTCTGTTTTACTTTATTTAGCTTAAGATGCTGGGAGGTGGATTCTTTATGGATTAAGAGTTTAATGGCTATGTTTTCATCCCAGTAAGACACCAAAGATCATAGAAGCTGTTATTACTAAGTCCAGTGTGTTCTGATATGAATTCTCTCTCCCTCTCTCTCTTTCTCTCTCTCTGTTTTTGGTACGGGGGATTGAACTCACCATGTCGTGCTTGCCAGGCAGATACATGTGCCCCTGAGCTAAACCTCTGGTTGATATGAATTTTCTCCAAAAACATTTTTAGCTAGATGGTCCCTTAGCAATGTGCAGCAAATAATATTTATGAGACATTTTTCATTAATCCTTTAAAAGTTACTTTGGTGATTTCTTAATTAAAAGTTTATTTTCTTCCAGATTCAAACTTTTCTTTACAGAAACCTGTCTCTAGCTTTGGGGGAAAAAAAAAAAACCAAAAAACAAAAAACATGTCAGTAGAGATAAAGCGAGCGCTGTAAAAGCAGGTCATTTGGTAGGCATCATTTCAGGGAAGTTGAAACAAGAACTAACATTTGTTGAGAGGCTACTGTGACCCAGGTAGGCGGCCAGAATCTGCCTTGCTGCCTCCCACCCCCAACCAACTGATATGTAATAACTGTACATATTTATGGGCCATGGGGCCTCTCTCTCTCTTTCTCTTTTCCTCTTTTGTTCCATTTCTCTTTTTTTCCTTCCTTTTCTTTATTTCTCTTCCTAGCCTTGGAGATTGGACCTAGGGCCTTTACATTGAGCTATATCCCCATCCAGTACCCCCCCCCCCACCAACTCCCTGGCACCTTTTTTTTCTTTGAGACAGTTTTGCTACATTGCCCAGGCTGGCTTTGAACTTGTAATCATCCTGCCTCAGCCTCCTGAGTACGTGGGAGTATAGGTATATACTGCCTGAGTTGGCCCATGCGGCATTTTGGCACGTGTATACAATATGTAATGATCAGATCAGATCAGGGTGGTTTGTATGTTTACCACCTCAAGCATTCACACACACACACACACACACACACACACACACACACACACACACCGTGTTACTTTGGTGATTTCTTAATTAAAAGTTTATTTTCTTCCAGATTCAAAGTGGTTTTTCCTTGGCTTCAGGACAGGGTCAGAGCTGTACAGTGAGGTCTACTTGTGTTGCTTTTTCCTTCAGCCACGTGGCATTAGTTGGAGATCCCTAGTCCCTTTTCCTTAACAGGGTGCTAATTGTGTCTCATCAGTAAGTGGAAGATGTGTGCACAACACATGTTCTCTTCTCTTCATCACACCCAATGTGCCAGATCATAAAGAGGTTGCAAACTCAGGCCTCAAGGAAGATGATACCAAATGCAGTATTTAAAATATCAAAGGTAGCACAGAAACACCCATGATGACCCCAATAGCAGAAGTTCGAAGTATGGAAAAATAACAGTGGGATACTATCTTGGTTACTTTTCTCTTGCTGAGACAAAATACAGAACACTTAAATTAAAGAAGGGTTTATTTAGTTCACAGTTTGTGGAGATTTCAGTCCAAGGTAGGGTGGTATAGCACAGGGGCAACAGTTCAAAGCTGAAGAAGACAGCAGATAACAAGAGCAAAAAATGGAGGTTGGGGGAGAGCAAGCCTCTTTTCCTCCCTTTCATTGTCTGTAGGCTGCCTGCCCTCAGGTAGGTGTAGCACTCACACCATCTCTGTGCCCTCCTCTTGCGCAGGCGCAGGATGTTTACAAAGTGAGCGCCCTGGCCTCCTGCTGAGTCTCTTAGTTAAGTTTCTAAACTTCTCAAGTTGACATAATGAACAAAATCCTAGAGGTAAGGGCCTGTTCTACACCCTAGTATGTAAAACTGCTGAGTTACTTAGTTAAGCTTTTAGACTTCTCAAATTGACAGGTTGTATCAACTATAACAAACACCTAGCCCTACTGGAGGCAGAGGCAAAATGGAAAATCAAGTATAATCCTGTCATTGTTTAAAATTTGGTATTTTAGTCCTGGCTTCAGTAGCACATATACTAAAGTTTGGTATTTTAGCTGTGTTTGGGGGTGTATGTCTGGAACGAAGGGTGGAGGTGGGAGGATTGCCAGATCAGTCTACACCCTAGACAGAGATCCTGTCTCAAAAAAATTTTTTTAAAAATTTTGTTTATTTTTTTTTTAAAAATTCATTTTGATTTTTAAAAATATTGCATGAAAGTATTTTATCTGGATGCTTGATTAGGCAACTCCTTTGATTTTGTACCCTCACCATAGTGATGGTTGGTTCTGCATCATGTTTTATGTGTCAGTTATGGATTATACAGGAGTATAATCCTGACCTGTGGGCATTTTCAGGGTAAGTGGGAGTCAGCCCTACAAAGAGTGGCAGTGTAGGGCAGTAATTATAAGACAGTGCATGGGGGGGTGAGGGGAAGGAGCTGCTTTTGAGTTTCTTGGGAGGTCTGGAGTGAGAGGAAAGGGCTGCCTGCCAGGTAGACAGCAGACAAGGTAGGAGAAGGGCGTGTCGGGAAGGCGAAGCTCCTCACGCCTCTGAGCCTCCCTTATCCTGTCTGCACAGCAGAGGAGATAGTGTCTCTTGTTACAGTGAGTGCGTGGGTAAAGCAGCCTGGGGTGGAACGCAGCCTGTTAGCCTAGAGGGTGGTGGTGCCCATCCTGTGCAGATCAGCAATGTATCTTTATACACACTGCATGCAGATCACAGTATCCTGGCCATGATGCCTCTGAACTTTGTTTTGCAGACATCCATGACAATGATGGTAGTTCCAGCAGCAGCCACCAGAGCCTCAAGAGCACGACCAAGTGGGCATCCTCCCTAGAGAATCTGCTGGAAGACCCTGAAGGCGTGAAGAGATTCAGGGTTTGTCTTTTTCATTGTTATTCTGGATGGATGCAGTTTATCCAGAAGTTTACCTAGGAGTATAGGAAAACAGGCCAATCTTTAACAGTCTCTGTGCTAGCTTGAGAGTAGGAACTCATTTGCTGTGACGGTGTTAACAGTACTCTTACAGAGAACCCTGAACTCATACGAAGGGGCATGTGATCTGTCCCTGGTTTTCATGTAGTTTGGTTGTGAGGGGTGTGGGACTACAGGGAAAGAATACCAAGGCTAGTGGCGGAGTCTACACGAAGAATTTCTAGTTCAGCCCAGAGTGGTGCACATCTGTGATCCCAGCACTGGGAGTCTGAGACAGGAGGATTACAAATTCTAGCCCAACCTGAGAAATCTAATGACTTGGCAAGACCGTGGCTCAAAAAACAAAACAAAAGAAACAACCTAACTGGAGGGTTGGAAGCTCAGTGGGAAGGCCCTGAATTATTTCTCTAGTAATGTGCGTGCACACAAAGAATTTCCAGCTCTGGGTATCTGTGACGTGAAGATTTGTTCTCTCCTGTGTCAGGTAATCTCCAGGTGCATCAGTGCCAGGGAGAAAGGCTGGAAGTCACAGGTAGAATGAAGTTGGGAAAGGGAACCTCGAGAGGAGAACTGATGGATGGGGAAATATCAGTACCATCGAGAGATAATATTTTTGCCCTCCAGGACCCCCTTGTGTCAGGTGGAGTCCCAGAATGAGGCCCAGCAGTTGGTGTCTTTAAGTGTCAGGTCAGGTGCTGCTGCTCCTTGCGTGGCTGCCAGGGAGGGGGCTGTGCCAGGCTCCTGGGTCTGGATACCAGGGCACAGGGAGCATGGTCCGGACATCAGAGAGGCTGCACACAGCAGAACCTAATGCTCCAGCAGCTGCCAAAATAAAGCACACCTTTAAGTTTTCATCATGGCCTTTGAGACATGCTCAATATGTTTTCTTTTGCTGAAAAAAATGGCCTGGTTTCAGAGGAATGTACTTTGTTTAAACAGTGTCTAGAAGGAACTAATACATTTTCTGCTTTAATTTACTTTTTGGTAATTTATTGTCAGTTTAGAAATGGGAGTAGATTCCTGCTTCATTTTGCTTTTCTTATGATGTCAGTGGCATTAAGGTCAAAATGCATCTGAAATTCTAGCTTTCACATTTTATATGCCTTTTGTTCTTAAGGGCACAGTTTTCAGAGGATAATAGAACCAGGTTTATCTGCTGAATTTTGTTAAGTCAGTTCTTAAAGGAAAATGCATCGTTTAAAAAATATATTACTGTATTTTTTTTCTTTGGATCTAGGAATTTTTAAAAAAGGAATTCAGTGAAGAAAATGTTCTGTTTTGGTTAGCGTGTGAAGACTTTAAGAAAATGCAAGATAAGAAGCAGGTATTTCTTCTATTTTGCAATTGCTTTCTTGATCTTTTTTTTTTCCTTTTCCATATCCAGTTATAACTATCTGCTCCATAGGTTTTGAAAGTGCCTCAAAAAACCTGATTTACATTAGATTTGGAGGAAGATGTCAAATCAAATATCTTGTGTTGATCACATATGATCAATTTTTACATGAATGAACGAGCCCACTTGTAAATGGTGCTGTTAAAATGGGTCAATATTTAAAGTAAACTAATGATTAAAGTCATTAAGCATTTGTCATTGTGTACACATTTTGTTCTTCATGAATAGATCATGAGTATGTTTGACATGTTGGCAGTTTTGGACATAGTAAAATGATAAGCAGATGTGTAGTGATGAAAACCACAGTGTTTGTTAGACAGGTTGTCAATTATTCAGTGTATCTTTATAAAGCACCCCACAGTTGGCAGGCAGCCACCTGAAAGTTTCTGACTGTTCCCCGGTAGATGTGTGTTCCCTTTTGGAGCTGACTGTAATTCCGCTATGTCGGCTGCATGTTTTGGCATTGAAGTTTGGCCATAAGGCCACGGGAGGGATTCTGGAGGAGGCCTGGGATCGGGTGGGTTTATGACACCCGTGCTTGTGTATAGTATTTCTAAAAGGCTACCAGTTCAGTGCCTCAGGGGCCAGTGAGGGATCTGAAAGAGCAAGACTGCAAGGAATGGTGGGGAGTGGAGCCAGCCGAGGACCGGCTGTTCTGCGCTTGGGCCTGTGCTGCTGCGCAGGTGTGTGGACGGCAGGGCTGTCCCCACCAGCTCGCTCCTCAACGCCAGTGCTCCAGGACTTGGCTTGTCCACTCTTGTCCCTGGTTCCCTGCAGGCCTTCCTTCTTAAGTGTCTTTTCCCATTTTCAGCCCACGGCTGCCTAATTTTTAGCTGGACATTTGTGTTCTTACGTGAAACTATCCAAGTTTGAAATGTTGGAACTCATTTTTTAAAAATGGAAGGCTTTGCTTGCCAGACAACAGCTCCACAGGCAGATGTGCCTTGTGGCCTGCCAGGTTTTGGGTCTCTGTCTCCAAAAGCTGGATTCTGTGGGGCCAGCAGCCTTTCTTCATGGGCCACCACTTGGGAAATGCACATCATTGGTTTCTTTTCTTTTTTTGTACCAGGGATTGAACTCATGACCTTGGGCTTGCCAGGGAGGTGCTTATGCCACTGAGCTAAATCTCTGGCACATCATTGCTTTCTTCAAGGCTCTTCCAGGGCCAGACACTTTTTCCAAGCCACCACATGTGGCCTTTCCTCTCTGTCTTCCTCTTTGCAGGTGGCAAAGGCAGATTCTAAGAGGGGTTCCCTTTGGCTTGTGTTTTCTGGGCTGGCCTTGGAAACTCTTACTGGGTGTAACCCTGGCTTTTGCTCCTTGCTGGTGTCTTCTTCCATCTGGATGATTTTGGTTAGAGAACCATGGATTGTGAAGGGTCTGGGTAATGAGAAATAGGGTGGGGAAGGCCTGCTTGGGAAAGGTAGGATTTGGGCTGAGGTCCTCATGGTTTTCCTTTCTTCCCAGCACCCAGCATAGGGCCCAGGGCCAACCACAGGTACCGGCTAGACTGCAGCTGATGTGACTAGCCTCACTCTAAGAGCCCAATTCAGATTTGGGGCTCTGTGTATTCATCTTCCTTGTTCTTTGAGTGTTAGGGGAAGGAAGGGCTTACAGGGAGCCAGCCAAGCCCCTCAGTGAGGCAGGGAAGGTCAGGTCCACAGTGCAGCTGGACTTGAACCAGCACTCTGAGGTCACCCTGGTATTCCCCCACATATTCGCTGTGTGTGTAGCAGTTTAGTTGAAGTCGCCAGGTCTGGAAGCCCTGCAAATACCACAGGGACAAGCCAGATGATCTTCTTTGAGGAACAAGCTGTTGCGAGTATGATAAGTGTAGAAATGGGAGCATGTGTCGTGGGTTGCATGGGCAGGGAGTGGTCAGAAAGGGCCCTGGGAGAAGTGGCTTAGAGATAGAGACCTGCAGTGGGGCTGGGGCGGAGGAGTAAGGTTCCAGGGAGTGGAGCCGGCTTGTGGGAAGACCAGCCAGGGGAGAGGAAGTGGTAGAGGGGCTTCTGTTTGAGGGGAAGGCCACTGTGCTGTGCCTGAGTCTGGGAGCAGGTGTGGCCACACCCGGAAACCTGAATCCTATGGCAAGGAGAGAGCCTTCTGCTGAGGCCTTGGGAAGCCACTGTAGGACTGTAGCAAGTACAGTGTGGTGTTGGTGGCTCTGTCCCACCCACATCCTACAGGATTTCCAGAATTGGGCAGTCTTTCTCCACACCCCTGTCACTCAGCATAGGACTTCTGGAAGGTTTGTGTCCATGAGCCTGGAATGTGAAGTTGATTGCTTTGATACAGTGAGTACCACCTTCACCCTTCAGCTACCAGAGAACACAGCTGGTCCCAGGGCAGCAGAGCCCTTGGTGACCCTGGGGTGACCAGTTCAGTCTGTGTCATTGTGTTGAGCCTTGTGACTGCTCCTGTTTGCAGACACAGGGCTGTGACTTGAGAGGGGCAGAAACAGCTCACCCAGAGCCAGCCTGGTGCTGCACCTGGATGCAGACCCAGGTCTTTGACCCCTGCACAGCAGTCTCTTGTGAGTCCTGAAGCACAGCAAGTAAAACCTGGCAGTCAGCTCTGCGTTACTGATTTTGAGAGGTAGAGGAGGCCGTAGCCCTGGCCACGCCTAACTGAACCTCACAGTCAAACTTGCCACATCTGGTCCCGTAGGAGTCAGTCGAGGGTTTCTCTTCTCGGCCGCCCACTCAGAAGCCGTTGTAGAGTTTGTATTTCATTCTTTGCTTAAATTATCCAGCACTGGTCAATTTCCAGTATCTTGTACGATTTACTCATCTTTTTTCTTTATAAGTGCATATTGGTTTTACAGATTAATGGATTTTATTTTGGCAGATTTATATGTATATAATACACTAATCACTGCCCCCAACCCACCCCTCATCTCCATAGCCCCTCCCTAGTTTCACATAGGTTTTTGGGGGAGAGCTCAAAGTATACATTTTAATTGTTTTCATGACTCCTTTTACCTGCCCTCCCCTCCCCTCTGTTTTCCCTTTCTCCTAAAGGTCTTCCTTCTACTTTGTGTATGTGGATCTTACTAAAGTTCCATGTATTCAGGGGAACTTGCAATATTTGTCTTTGTGAGTCTGGCTTATTTCTCTCAATATGATGATTTCCAGAGCCCTCCATTTTTTCTACAAATGACAAAATTTTGTTCTCTCTTTCTTTTTTCTTTTTTAAGACTTGTTGTGTAGCTCAGGCTGACCTTGAACTCATGGTGATCCTCTTGTCTCAGCCTCCCAAGTGCTGCGATTTACAGGCATGTGCCACCACATCTGGCCAAAATTTTGTTCTTTTATATGATTGGATAATCCATTGTATATCTATATCTATATCTATATCTATATCTATCTATCTCTATCTCTCTCTCTCTCTATATATATATATATATATCACATTTTCTGTGTCTGTTCATTTGTTCCTGGGTACCTAGGCTGGTTTAGTATCTTGGCTACTTTAAGTCATACCGACAGGGGGCTGGGGATTTAGCTCAGCGGCATAAGCGCCTGCCTTGCAAGCAGGCAGTCGTGAGTTCGATCCCTGGTACCGCTAAAAACGAAAAAGACAAAAAAAAAAAAAAAAGTCATACCCACAGAAATGTGGGTATGCTGCTGTCCTTACTGTATGATGACTTTAGTTTTTTACTGATTCCCATAGTGGCTGTACTACTATGTAGTCTTACCTTACATTCTTTGTCTTCCTCTCTTTCATGGGCTTCATCTCTGCCTGCTTTTTTCTGCACAGCATCTGAGTGCCCAGAACCGTGCCTCTCCCTTCCCTTCCCCACGCCCCACAGTTTCTGCAGCAGCCCTGGATGTGAGAGATGAATGCACACTCCATCCTGTTGGGGTTTTTGTTGTCAGAAGCACCCATCAGCAGAACAATACTTGTCCTCCTGACTTCTCCAGTCTGTGCTTTGCCTCCGGAGAGGCAAGGAAACCATCCCCAGAGACCGGGAGGGTCCTGGCATTCTGTCTAGCCGGTGGGGTGGTGGTGCTGGAGACTCAGGAGATTGGGAAGACAAACTCCCACTTGGGGTCCCCAAATATGTTCTTGTTTGGCAAACAGATTCCAAAGCTATTTCCTCTTTTGCAGTTTCTTTATGGTTTTGAAAAAAATTTTAAGGGCCTCTTCTCCATGAATTAGCATCTGAGGGATCTGTAGCTTTTAAACCAAACCAGCATTTATGTTGTCTACAAGACCACAGAAAAAGCTTCAAGTGGGTATTCATTCTTTAGCTGGCCTTGCATTCATTCATCAGTCCCCGCATGGATATTGGGCTTGGTTACTCTGTGGCTTTGAAATGGATATGGCAGCATGTACAGCATTGCAGAAATTAAGAGGGGATGGGAAATGACAGGTCAGGGAGTTTTTTTGCTCAGTATGTGCAAGCCCCTGGATTCATTCCAGTACTGGGGAGAAAAAGTACTAATTTAGAGCCTGCTCTCTCTCTCTTTCTTTCTCTGTCTGTCTCTTCCTTCCTTCCTTCTTCCTCCTCTTCTTCCTCTTCTACTTTTATTAGTACATCAAGTTTATAATTTTCTGTCTTCTTAAAACCCACTTTTACAGTCAAGAAACGGACCCCAGCACTGTGTGTTTAGTTTGTTTGTTTTGTACTGGGGATAGAACCCCAGTTCTACCACTGAGCTAGATTCCCAGCCTATTTCATTTTGTAACTTTGAGACAGTCTCCCTAAATTCCCCAGGCAGGACTTGAACATGTGACCCTTCTGCCTCCCTCAGTGCTGGGATTACAAACATGTGCCACAGTGCCTAACAGGAGCAATATTTTTTTGTCTCAAAGGTTCTTTAAAATATCACATTTGTAAAAATGATTTTGCTTCATCCAGTGACTTAGATTCTCCTTCTCAAATGAGGAAAGAAAATTTTAAAGAAACCGTCCAAGCAGCAGCCACAGCAAGAGTGGCGGATCCTCCTTTAAACTTATTTTGATGAAGGCACTGTTCTAACTAAGTGTTTTTGCATGGAATATTCTGTTTAATCCTCAACAAACCTATAAGCAAAGATTTTAATATTATTGTTCTACCCACATGATGAGAGAAACTTGAAACTGAAGGAGAGGAGGCTAAAAGAAGCGTGTGCAGAGTCAAGGTTTAAGCCCGTGCAGTATTGCCTGCCAGCAAGTAGCCACTTATACTTCCTGGTCTTTAATGTCCCATTTCTTTTCTTTGTTGCAGTCCTGGGAATTGAACTGAAGGCCTTTGTACTGAGCTGCATACCGAGCCTTTTAAAAAAAAAATTTTTTTTTTAACTTTGAGACTGAATCTTGCCGATTTGCTAAATTGCCTGGAATGGGCTCTTGAACTTGCCATTCTCCTGCCTCAGCCTCCTGGAGTGCTGAGATTACAGGGGGGTGCTTTGGAAGGTCCATTCATTGTGTGGGTACTGTGTGGAACCATGTGATCTGGAAATTTTCAGAGAAATGTGCTTATGTTATTGTTATTATTTCAATTGTTTAAAAAAATTTCCATTCTCTCTGGTCTGCTCCTTTTCCTTCTCTGCCTCCATTTTTCTGTCTTTTTTTTTTTTTTTTTTTTTTTGAGATGAGTGTCTTACTGCTTTGCCCATGCCAGCCTCAAATTCCTGTATTCAGGTGGTCCTCCTGCCTTAGCCTCTTGAGTAACTGGAATTACAGGTGCCGGTCATTGTGCTTGGCTCAAGTTTCTTCCAGTGACAGAGCCCTAACCCTAAAATGGTCCCTTAATTTAATTGTCATTTTTCTCACCTGTCTGTTCATGTCTTTGGCTTTTGGTTCCTACTTTTCTTTTGGAGATTTTAACTTTATCTTTAAATCTTTCTGTTGGATTTCTCTCTTTTATTTTTTGTTCATTTCAGTCTCTTTTTGGTGGGCCACAAGCCTGGTGTGGCCACTCACCTGGGCCAGGGAAGTTTGCTGGGGTCTGACTTTGGAGCTTGATTTAATCCTTTGCATTCGGTTCGTAGCTCATCCGTGCCCTCCTCCCTCCCTCTCTCCTGCCTCCCTACTTCCTTCCCTTCCTTCCTTCCCCTCCCTCACCCCTCCACCCCCTATCCTTCCCCTCCTCCCCACCTCTTTATAATTTTGATTGTGGTGCTAGGGATTGAACCAACAGCCTTCACACCAGGCCTTTTTGTTTTATTTTGAGACAGAGTCTCACTGACTTGCCCAGGCTGGCCTCAAACTTGTGACTCTCCTACCTCAGTTTCCCCCGCTGCTGCAATTACAGGCATGTGCCACCACACTGGCCAATCATTTATTTCTTTCTTTTTTATCTTTTTTGAGTCGGGGTCTTGCTATGCAGTTCAGGCTGGCCTTGAGCTCACTTTGTAGCCCAGGCTGGTCTCGAACTCACAACGATCCTCCCACCTCAGCCTCCCAAGTGCTGGGATTACAGGCGTCAGCCACCACACACGGCTTGGCCAATCATTTCTTAAGAAAACTCCAGTCTGCTGGGCAGAGGGAGCAAGGAGATGAGATGGTCAGCTGGCTGCTCAGAGTGAGGGTGAGGCCAAGGACTACCAGCTCCTCTCGCTCACCCTTCTGTGCCTTGCACCCAGGCAGCCCCATGCTTTGAGCTGCTACTGGGTCTTGGACGAATCTCCTGCCACCCCCTCCTTAGCCTTGCAGGTGTCTGGTTTGCTCTTGTCCTCTGTTCATCCCTCTTCCTCCAACTGCCGTGCATTTCCTGAGCTAGTTCTCGGAAATATTCTTGTACCATATATTTGCTGTTTTCTTTGCCTCATGCTCTTTCTGAAACTGATATGCAGTTAGTGGCTTGGGCGTTTTGTCCTCTGGGCGATCTCTCCATGGCCATCTCCAGTGGAGTGACAGGACAGAGAGGAACCAGCTGATCTGGCTGGAGGTGTGTTTGGGAGTCAAGCGAGCCTACCGTGGCTGACAGGATGCAGCTAAGCAGGTGTCAAAGGAGGTCATTGTTCCAGCTTCGTGCTGTGCAGGAGGGGACCTCTTCTCCCTGTGTGAAAATTTGAGGAGTCTGTGGGCCGTCTGTGCCCATATTGCCAGAGATCGGTTGGCACGTGGGTCGTTATCTTGGGGGATGTTGGGTTGAAGCAGGGAACAGACCTAACAGCAGTCAGGGTCAGCACTCTGGGAACCCCGGAATTTAGGGAGGAGCTGCTGTGTGAGCAGGCAGGACTCTTCCGCAGAGGGAATAGGGGGAAAGTCCAGGAGGTAAATTTACTTCTCCCAAACATGCTTGGGTTGGGAGCCCTGCCCTCTCATGGCTGACCTGGACTCTCATTGCTAGGCCTGGAGGGAAGGCCCCGGCCTTGCGGGTCTCACCTGGGTGCAGCCAGGCCCATCAGTCCTGCGCTGATGATCCCAGGCGGGGACCTTTCCAGTTCCTTCTGGGTGAGCTGAGGAGGCTGGCACCTTCAGTCTCCTCTGGGGGTTTCTGCTCTAGATGGTGCTGGGGCCCAAGAAGAAAAGCTGGTGCTTCCAGACCATGGACTCAGAATAAACTCCACCACTGACGGCTGTTCTGTTCCTATCCTGATAGCAGCTAGAAGAGAGTTAATAAAGCTCTGGAAAAACCTACCAAAATAGCTCGGAGACTAGTTCTTCTTTTTTGTTCAGTGTTCTCGGCCTGGACACCAGGCCTTCCCGTGACTGGCTTGTGGTCGGCAGTCTCAGTGTTTCCCTTTTCGGTCATGCTTCCTATCCCAGCCCAGATAAGCTCTGCTGCTCAGCCGTTCCTAAGCACTTGCTCAGTCAGCGACAGGGCAGCATGCACAGAGCCAGCCCAGGGACCCCAGTTCTCCACCGGAGACGGGGGGTGGGGAGTATGGCTAGCAAGAGAGGATAGGATGGAGCCTTGGGCTTGTACACCTATAGTGCTGGTCCTGCTTCCCCTTCCCTGAGTGGCCTGTCCCTTCTTCACCTCAGGCTACTCATTATGTGTCTGATTTTCAGAGCCCCTGAAGATAGCTTAAGATTCACCTGGATAACCACGTGTGCTTGTGTGTACATGCATGTGTGTGCATTTGTACGTGTACGTGTGTGTATGAATCTTTTAGGCAAGGGGAGGCCTCAAGTGACTTCTGCCTGCAGGGCTCTGCATGGCATTTGCTAATCTGACAGGCTGAAATTCTACTGCTGTGAAGTAGCTTTCAAACAGGAAGTGGTTTTCCAGAAATGTTCTTTCCTGACAGAATGAGGTTGTGGAAGGGAGGCTCACGGCTGCGTGGAGCAGTTGGGTCTTTGACAGGCATGTGGTTACAAAGTGCTGCTCCCTCTGCGCCTTGCTGATGGACCCCAGATCTGTCCATGTCACAGCCTATTTATTTTAAGAGGCTCCTGTGTCTCTGAGTTTGACATCAATTCATTGCTCACATTGATAGTCAAGAAAGAGCAGATACCAGACAGCTTTGGGTGATGGTCTCACTTGGCAGCTTTCTGCGGGTACTGGTGAGGCTTGCTGCCTCAGGGGACCGTGGTCAGACCTCAGCTTCATGTGGTTTTTGTCATCAAGTCTGTTTTCCAGTACCAGTTAGCAAAGCCTTCTGTGGGTTTCCATAAAGTCCACAGTGTTTGTAGAGCTCGAGCTTTCCTAAACTTAGTGTATTTAGAGCCCCAGGTGGATCTCTGGAGCGAAAAGAAGTTTTCCAGAACTTCTAAGCCCTTTCACACCCCACCTTCACCCCCAAATCACAGTCAGAGGGAGGCATTTTGAAGAATTTCTTATCTGGCTTGCTCTGTAGGGTAAGAGGGTGCTCTGTACCTGCCGTTTAGGGAAATAGCCCCTCTTTACCGCAGGTGAGGCAGGCACACAGGAAGTCTCTTTTCTCTTCAAGAAAATAGAACTGTCAGGGGAAGTCCTGGCGAGCCAGGTTCCTGCCACGAGGTGAGCTGTTTTGAAGACAGAGTACTTCCTGTGAAGCCCTGCTCCTTCTCACCAAGGAGGCGAGGCACTGCCTGTTTCTTCCTCCAGGCCCTGGTGACCACTGATCTTTCTGTCTTGATGCATTTGTGCGTCTGGATAGCTTACATGAGTGCAGTCATATAGTATTTGTCCTCTTGTGTCTGGTTCCTTTCACTTAGTAGCATATTTCCAAGATTCATTCCTTTTGCAGCATGTATCAATGCTTTATTCCTGCTTATCACTGAAAAATATTCTCCTGAGCCTCAGTTGGGAAGAGTCAAGGGATGGTCTTACATGGTGCTGAGTGCTCACTCTGGACCAGCTTCTTTCTTTCTCCCCATTTCTGCATGGCTGGTGTAGTAGTCGTATTATAGGACACGTGGCTGCACACAAGTGGGAGAGGTAAGTGGAGGCTGGGGCTGATGCTGTAGGCCTTGTGTGGGGGCCGAGCTCAGGAGCTGCATTTGGAGTCTGAGGCTGAAGCTCCTTCTGGGTCTGGCTGAGGGAGCTGAGCTCAGGCTGAAAGGGCCGTGCTGGCAGGTGACAGACACACATCTCTGACTCTTCCAGATGCAGGAAAAGGCCAAGGAGATCTACATGACCTTTCTTTCCAATAAGGCCTCATCCCAGGTCAATGTGGAAGGGCAGTCGAGGCTCAATGAGAAGATCCTGGAAGAGCCACATCCTCTGATGTTCCAGAAACTCCAGGACCAGGTAAGCTGATTTCCCTGCCTATATCTTGATTTGAAAACCTATGTTCATTTGAGGTCTGGAAATGTTCAATGAAACACCAGCCTTAGGTACCTGGAAACCAACTTATCCCATTGGGCAGGCCCTGCTTGGTGAAAGAGAGGGGCCTGGAACCCCAGGCTCAAGATGTGACCTGCAGATCGCTCCCCCTGCCTGTTTTCTCTTGGTCTGCACCATGTCACCCAGCGGTTTTTTCTGCTGTCTTGACTCAGATGAGAAGGGAGGCCGGGGCTCTTTGAGGAACCCACATTGAAGAACAACATGTGACAGTCGCTGAAGGTAGGGACTGAAAAGTCTGGAAACAAGCACAAGGACTTCAAGTGGCCTAAGAGTGAAACTGTTTTTGTGCAAATACCCGAACACCTCCCCTTCTGCTGGTGGCCCAATACTATGAGCCAGTTTGTAACAAGGCCCCTGAGTCATCATGACAAAGTTGTCATGTGGCAGTATATTCATTCCACTTAAAACAGGAAAAAATAGGTTTTAAAAATTTACCCATAGGGGTGAACTTTAGTTTTCTGGCCCATTTACTTGTGAGAAGTACCAGTGTAATTGCCAGAAGGGGTGAGGTTTTTAGACTCAAATTTACAGGTGTGACTATTGACATTATCCTTTTCTTTTATGAAAAGGATCTTAGACAAGGGCACACAGACACATGTCACACTCCTGCTGGCCCATCCACATTGAGGAAGCAAAGCTGGCAACACAGGTGGAGACCAGCTTTTGCTAAAGTCAGCTAAGCTTGGGAGGCCCAGAATCACCTGGAGGCTGCTGGCACCACTCCCAGGACTAACCACTCAATTCGGTGGGCCGGGATTGCATCCCTAACCGATTCCCAGCAGGTGCTGAGGCTCCAGATCTGGAGCTACAACCTCTGTGTTGCTTGTCTTTTTTGATCACCTGGTGTATTCACAGAGCTTAGATGACATCCTAGCATCTAAGAGACCACATCTTTGCTCATTTTCAGATAGAAAACCAGTGCACAGATAGAAGATGTAAATGTATGAAGTCATGACAAATGTTTTCCAGTTGACACAGTGCCAAGTGCAAATTCTATGAATTGTGAATCAAATTTGGGTGCTGGCGAAACTCCAGTTTGAGTGGGGGATGCTGGAGGTGGTGGTTTTGAGCCAAGAGAAGGATGCTAAGGACATGGATTGCAGAGGGGAAGGCAGTGTGTAGTGAAAAGGCAATTACTGTGACTCTGTCTGCTTGGGAATGATCACCCCAACCCTGACCTCAGAGTCTCTGTCTCGGTCTCTGTCCTGAGAATTGAACCCAGAGCCTTCAAACTGAGCTGCAGCCCTGGACTTTTTTTTATTTTAAACAGGGTGATGACTGAATTGCTGAATCACTGAATTACCCAGCCTGGGTTTGAACTCATGATCCTCCTCCTTCAGCCTCTTCAACCTCTTCCGTCTCTTAAAGGGTCCCTAGGGGACTTTACAGTATAACCCAAGTTGAGAATCCCCCACCCTGATATTTATAGTAATATTTTTTTTTCAAGTGACAAATTTGTTTTGTTTTGTTGTAGTACTGGAGATTGAATCGAGGGCCTCAAGCAGACTCTACCACTGAAATGTATAACCAGAAGCTTTTTTTTTTTTTTGTCTTTTTGAGACAAGGTCTCACTATGCAGTTCGGGCTGGCCTTGAGCTCACTTTGTAGCCCAGGCTGGTCTTGAACTCGAAACGATCCCCCTCCTCAGCCTCCCGAGTGCTGGGATTACAGGCATGAGCCACCATGTCCGGCTCCAGAAGCTTCTTTTAAAAAACAATTTGAGGCCAGGCAGAGGGCGTAAGCCTGTAATCCCAGCAGTCAGGAGGCTGAGGAGGGGGATAGCCATGAGTTCGAGGTAGGCCTGAATTTATGCACTGAGACCCTGTTTCAAGTAATGAAATTATTTTGAGACAGGGTCTCTTGGTAAATAACCAAGGCTCACTTGAACTTAGATACTTGCCACCATGCCTGTGTGAAAATATTTTTTTGTTTTGTTTTGTTTTTTGTCTTTTCCTTTTTATCCGTACCAGGGATTGAACTCACAACTGCCTGCTTGCAAAGCAGGCGCTTATTCCACTGAGCTAAATCCCCAGCCCCCATGAAAATATTTTAAAAATAACTTTGATTTACCTGAATACAAAGGTCATATGTCCTCAACAAAGACATGTGAAAACTGAAGCATGTTGACAGGAAAAACCCTCGTGTTCTCTGTACCCAGAGATAACTACTAAGCTACATCTCTGGATTTTTATTTTCTATAGGTGAGCACTGCAGCAGTCCACATTTGTGCATGCATGACAAATGTGGACTGCTGCAGTCCGGTGATGATCATATCACCGTCTTGTAGCACCAGAAACCCACAGTGAATGTGGCCCTGTGGGCCCCTACATTGCAGGAAGGCAGTGTTGACTTTGAGACCATCATCATGTCCCTTGGTATCCTTGGGGACTGGCTGCAGGATCTCCCAAAGATACCAAAATCCATGTGCCGCCGTCCTTATCCCAAAGGACATCATATTTACGTGTAATGTGTACACAACCTCCCATATGTATTAAATTGCCCTCAGATCACGTGTAATGCAAAGTAAATGCTGTAAGGTCACACTGTTGTATTTTTAAGAGAAAAATGACAAGAAAAAAAGTCTTACAGGTTCAATACATGTGCGATTTTTATTTTGGGGGTATTTTGAATCCACATTTGGCTGAATCCATGGAAGAGGAGGCCGTGGATGCAGAGGCTGCCTGCATTTGGAGTGTGAGCTGATTGCAGAGTCCCAGGGAGAGGCCCCTGGTCTCTGTTTTGCTTTGGAAAACTGTGCCTCCAGGGCCTGGCTGGTAACTGTCAGAATGTGTGACTGTGCTGTCTGATGTTCTTCGTTCCCAAAAGACAACCCTGGAGGGCCCTGTTTTCCTAAGCGAAGGAGATGAAAGCCGAGGAGAAATTGACTGGAACCACGGGATTTCACTTAAGTTTAAAAAGTCCCCTTTGCAGCTTCAGCTCTGCTGAGCATCCTTGTGGCCTGATGGTGGAGCCGCCCATGCGGGCTGCTTTCTGTGTGCCCCTTCAGTGCTCCTGGCCAGGAGAGCTTCAGGGAACCCCAGCTCTCTGCACGGTATTGCAGGCAGCAGCACAGCTGAGACCTGAGGGAAGGGAAGATCCTCCCTGAGCTTCAGATGAGATAACCTGACATCTTTGGGCCCTGTCTAAAGGAGCGCTTCATGAGTTTCCATTCAGGTTTGGTTTTCACACAGTTCTCACAGGCTGTAGTTCTTCCGCTGAGAGCAGATTTGAGTTACCGGTAGAAGTGATGGAGTGATGGGTAGCAAGAAGTGATAACTAAAAGCCAGGGAGGAGACGGAAAATGATAGTAAACACAAAACCACAGCACAGTGATCTGGAGACAGAGTGTGTGCTACCCACACTGGGTACATCCCTGTGCTGTGGAGTGTGATATGACCCGCAAGCCTGATACCCCAGAGCAACAAATGAAATTTACACTGTCATCAGTGTGTTATGTGGAGAATGTGCTATACATTTTAATAAGCATTTCATCAGAGGCAGCATCTTAAGAGAAGTGTAGGGGCTTAAAACTGTTACCTGGAAAATTCATGTAAGAGGAGAGATCCTGTCAGGTATAGTGGCGCACACCTATAATTTCAGATTGAGGCAGGAGGATTGTTATGAGTTTGAGGCCAATCTGAGCTACATAGTGAGTTCAAAGTCAGCCTGAATTGTATACCATAAAAAAAAGAGAGAGAGAGAGACCCTGCACACCATAAATGCTATGCACAGCAAAGAAATCAGCTCTGATCCTTGAGGACAAAGATACTAAGACAGAAGTAAAACAGCCAGGAGATGGGCCATGGGGGACTGGGAAGGGCTGCCATGCATCTCCTAGTCAAGAAGGCTCCCTAGAGAGGCCACTGAGGCCTGAAGGACAGGTGTCTGGATAAGAAGTCCTGATAAGCAGGACCTTCCAGGGAAGGTCAAGACTCCCAGACGAGAATCAGCAGAGAGTGTTGGGAAGGTCAGTGTGCTGAGGGTCTTAGTTTCTTTTCTGATTGCTAAGACAAAATTCCTGACACTAAAAAGTTAAAAGAGGAAAGTTTTATTTTGGCTTCCAATTTGTAGAGGTTTTAGTCCATTGCCAACTCGAAGGGAAGGTGGCCTGGCATAGGGCATCACAGAGGAGAAACCATTTACAGTGGGCAGAAAGCAGCAGAGCAGCAAGTGACAAGCAAAAACAGTGGCCCTCTTTCTGTCCCTCATATTGAATCCAGGTTACTCACCCTTAGAACAGGCAGCATTCACACCTGGGTCCTTCTCATCATCGACACTCAGCACCATACCAAACCAATCAGTGGACTAATTTAGTAATCACACACCCTTAATTCTAGTATCACATACTTAATCATATACCCTAGATCCAGCCACCTCTGAAAAGTCCCCCCTCTGACTGCATGAGGCTTTGGGGGGACATCTAGACATAAACCATAACACTGAGCTTAGCCAGGCGTATCATGGGAAGTTGAACTGAAAGAGCCTGGCTAGTAGGCCCTAGGGCTGTGGTACCAGTTTAACTTCAGGGATTTTGAACAGTGGTTATTTATCAGGTGGGCCAGTTGGACTAGGAAAGTTTGATCCTCTTGAAAGCTGAACCTCTTGGCTCTGATGTCCAGCTGTGGGTGTCCTGTGCCCCATTATCTCTACAAGAGTACAGATGACTCAGTGCAGAACCGTTTCTGTTGTTGAAAAGTTACCTGTGAGCTTTGAGGGCCTGACCATGGCTTATCATTTGTGTTCAGAGGCTCAGAGCCCCAGCCCTGTCCCCTCCTCCCACCGCCCCCTGCCCATCACTTCCTAGACACTGGGCTCAGATTCACTGTATATTAGGTTGGCATTCAACACCAGGAGAGGGCAGTGGGGACTCATGTTCTGACCTGCCTCCACCTGACCCTGGGCAGTGCCTGTTTCTTTGTGTGGCTTCTGTGTCCCCATCAGCAATCTAGGGCTCTTCCTAGAGTGCTGATCCCACTCAGGCACGTCATCTGTCTCTGGCAGGTCTGCCTGCTAGCCGGGGTGCTCTCCAGGGTGACAGCCCCTTCCATGAGACTTGCTCTGATACATCAGCTCAAGGGATGATCTGAACTGTATTTTCTTCTGACCTGCTGTCTGCCAGCTGCCTTCAGACCTGTGCATACTTCATTGCTGTTTGAGAAGAGGGAGAGGTGGTCTGTATCTTAGGGGATGGGCCCCTCCCTGTCTCTGTATCATTTATGTAGCTTCTGTGATACCAGCTGATTGTCTCAAGGGCTGCAGAGAGAGGGGCATCTTCTTCCTTCCCATTTCCTGCCTGTTCATGTGGGCAGGAAATTGTGTCTGTAGTCTAGGTGTGCAGGAGAAAGGACACATTCTAAACTGCAACTAAGAGATAGCAGTGCTTGCTGCCTGACTGACTTTCCGCAATTTTCTTGCAAAAACCAAACCAAATGCATGATGTAAATATAAAATCCCACTAACAGAACTTCTTTTGCACTGAAGGATCTTTTTTTTCCCTCCTTGTGCATGTGGAAATAACCTGGTGGGCTCTCTTGAAAAGAAAGGAGATAACATGTTTTGTTTAGATCTGCTAATGTATTTGTCTTCCGAGAGGTGTTAAAATATTTATTAGGCTTGAAATGCAGTGAATCGGGGCCATGATGAAATGTTAGGCAGTTCATTCTCCCAGTAGATGTGTGTGACTCTGTGGCAGAGGCCTTACCTGGGACGACCCATGTGAATAGTCCAAGGCTGGAGCCTGAGCCTGCATGGCTGGTCATCCTGGCGGAAAGATGGATCCTGATCAGTGACTGCACCCCTTGGCTTTGCAGCAGGCATATAATGAATGACCTGAACTGGGAGATGTGATGTAGAATTCTGCACGTGCAGGAAGGCATCCTTTTGTTTTCCTCTTAGTCCTACCTCTGGCAGCCTTCAAGACTGAATCCCAAGGCAACAGTGCTCAACAGTTTACAGTGGAGACATTTGGCTCACAGAGGTGCTGGTTGCCAAAACTCAGAGCCTTGCTAAGCCACAGCTATCTTGGCCAAAATACAAAGATACAAACTGCAACTCAGCTGCCAATTTGAGTTTTCTGCTTCGTCAGCTACCTGTCGCAGACCATTTGCCTGCTTAGGCTCCATGCCAATGTCTTCTGCCCACCTTGAGCCTCCTCCTCACCCCTATTTGTCCCTGCTTTCTTCTGCTCTTCTCTGCAGACAGCAAGGACTCTGAGCATGTCGTTAGGGTGGCACTCACTGTCTTTCTGGGTGAGGCCAGCTCTCCCCCTAAGAGATTTCTGGTTTTTAAACTCATTTTCTATGCTTGAGTAGGACTGAATTGACATCAATAAATTGACTGCTCTAGTTTCCTAGGGCTGTCATAACTAATCACCAAACCTGAGCGGCTCAAGAAAGCACAGACTTCTCTTGGAAATTAGGAGCCTTGAAATCTGGAGTCAAGCTAAGCATGGTGTTGTATGCATGTAATCCTAGCACTCGGGAGGCTGAGACAGGAAAATCATTGTGAGTATGAGACCATTCTGGGCTACAAAGCGAGCTCAAGGCCAGCCTGAACTACATAGTGAGTGTGAGGCACCTTCTGTGTCTCTCCCAGCTTCCAGATTGCTGGTGGCTGCTGGCTATCTTGGGTGTTCCTGAGTTGTAGCAGCGTCACTCCAGTCTCTGCCTCTGTTTTCATGTGGCCACCTCTCCCAGTGTGTCTCCCTGGGTCCTGTTCTCTTCCAAAAAAATACTACTCCTTGGGTTGGGGATACCCTGAATACAGGATGATTTCACCTTGACATCCTAAACTAATCTTATTTCCAAGTAAAATCACATTCTGAGGTTCTGGGTAGACATAGGCTGGGGGTGGGGGGTGGAACACACTGTTCAACTCACTGCTGACCTGTAGGCAGGCTCATTTCCTTCTTATATACACAGACACAACCTGGAACATATTTGAGACCACTGTTTTTAGAGTTAGTGAATTTTTTATATGTAGTATTTAATCATATAATAGTCACAGAAGTTTTCTGGACTTAGCTCTCAACTTCATTTGTGATGATCATGCACTGTCCTGCCACAAAAGCAGCCACATGGCCTAGGGGTTAGTGTGGGCTCGAAGGTTAGCATCTCACCACCTCTTGCTCACGCTTATGGGCAGAGTTTAACCCCCTCTACTTCCTGGTTTGTATGTTGAAGTCCTAAATCCCAGTACTTAGGAATGTGACTGTGTTTGGAGATAAGTTCTTAAAGTTAAATGTCATTGGGGTGGATCCTAATCCAGTTTGACTGATGTCCTTGTAAGAAAAAAAGATTAAGTCTGGGCATGATGGTGCACACCTGTAATTCCAGCATTTGGGAACTGAGGCAGGAAGATTGCTGTGAGTTCAAGACCACACAGACTACACAGTAAGATCTTGTCTCAAATTAAAAAAAGAGATTAAGGTACAAACCTGCACAGGGAGATGACCACAGGAGGACATGGGGGGGGGCAGTTGACCATTGGCAGAACAGGGGGATAGGCTCAGAAGAAATCAACTTGCTGGCACCTTAATCTTGACTTCTGGTCTTCACAACAGTGAGGAAGTACGTATCTGCAGCATTTGTTATGGTAGCTAGAATTGATCAGCATACCCCATGAGGCAAAGTTCTGAGCTCCAACCCATTTTCCCCTCTGTAAAATCAAGGTCCTTGAGGGCATCATGGGGTTACAGGATGGAACCCCATGATTGGGTGATTACATCTCACAGCTTTAGCCCCAGCCTGGGTGGTTTTTCCAGCCCTCTGCTGCACACACTGGGTGGTTTCCAGTCACTCACTGGGAAGCATTTATTTGACCTCCCATGGTCATTTGCCCTAAGGTAAGCCAGGGAGTTGGTAGTATCTGGGTATCTTGCTTTGGAGAGATTTTCAGGAGCATTCTGCTCTGCAGTGGGACTTCCTGCTGGTACATGCTCCCCAACCTGTGCCCCAGAGGCCCTTAGCCGGTGACTGGGTAGCTGAGCTCTGGACCCTGTATAGAGGTGTTGAGCTGCTCACAGCCCAGAAGCTGAGGTTCTTGGGAATGGCATCCTTTCCTTTCTCAAGTCTTCCTGGGCCTAGTGTCCACAGCTCTCTGGTAACTGTAGCATCTGAGTGGTGAGGTTGGGAGCCCCAACCTGGACTTCTGGGCTCCCAAGATATTTCACACTTGCCCTGGCAGGGAGGTGCCCTTGTTAAATATTTTGCATCCCCCTCCCATTGAGCTGGCCCTGATGGAGTGGAGGGAAGAGCCTGTAGTCTCTTGGAATCTCCTAGAAACCTTGTACACCCCAGCATCACTCTCAGCCCAAGCAGCCTCCACCCTCTTTACCTTCTCTGGCCCTGGGTGCCTCCAGCACGGTCCTTCTCTTCTCTCCTTTGAAGTCTGTGCTTCAGAGTGACTGCAGGCAAACAGGATGTTCCTCTCCCACACACAGAGACTGCAGATGAGATGCCAGATGCGGGTCGCACCGCATCCTGCTCCTGAGTGGTGGGTCCCCTTCACTGTGGACCTCAGGGTGGGGGTGGAGGTACAGGCTGTGTGCCAGGTGGGGCCTTCCAGCTCGTTCCATGTGTCACACTTTGAATGCCTGTTCTGGACTTTGAACTAAGGGGCAGTGCTTGTGCCTAGAAGGGCTGAACGATGCAGGTGCCAAGAGATGGTGCCGCCTGCTTCTTAGCACATTGGTGGGTGGATCCCAGAGGATAATGACATTCCTTATCTCCAGCTCATTCCTGGCAATAGTCTTTGTATTTTTGTTTAAATATATAATTTCTCCAAGCTTCAGCACATTATAATCACATCTAGGATTATAAGATTGCTGAAAAAATATATAACTGCTCAAGAAAGCTTGGGCAAGTCTGAAAGGGTACCAGGGAAAAGGCAGGCACTCAGAAACCCGGACATCCTAAAGCCCTCCTGAGTCTGGACTCTGCCTAGAGCAGAATGACTTAGCGTTTTGTTCTCTTGTAGTTGCAGCTGTCTTAGGAAAATGAAGGTGTAAAGGGCAAGAGTTCCTATTCATTCCTAAGCCTCTTCCCATCCCCCAAGCAGATGTTCTGAGGCCTTAGAATCCATCAGTTGTTTAATTTGCAAAATAGTTTGTGTGTGTGCTGCAAGAGGATGGGTTTACAAGATGTCAGGATTTTACCACCCACTTGACAATCCCGCCTGGCCTGGCGGTGAGTGATGTCCTGGGCACCTCTGGAACTTTCCATTCGGCTGAGCTTGTGCTGGTGCTGCAAGGGAAGGCACCTGGGTTCCTCGGGGCTCTTTAGCCTGCAGAATGTCCTGAAACCTGGAGAGTCAGAGAGAGGAGTAGAAGGTGCCGAATTTCTCAAAAAGAGGTTATTTCCCACAACAGCAGGGAAATGCATTCCTTTTTGCTTCTCTTTTTTCCTAATCATACTGCAGGGCTAGTCAGGGAAGAGGATAGTGGCACAGGATTGGGTGGGGTGCTGGGGTTGACGGCCAGTGCTCACAAGGAGGCCCGGTGAAGCCAGAAGAAGCTCTGTGTCTGGGAAGAGCTCTAGGAGCACTGCCATGCCAGCAGGTGGCTGCCCTCCAACCCTGAGGACTTAGGCATGGTCAGGGCCTCCTCAGCCACCAATACGACCTTTCTTCCGAGGGACATCACTCCTCCGCTGTCTGGTAGAGCAGGGGTTTGCATTCTGCTGCTTACTGATGTTTTCTCTAACCGAGACCTGTCTTTACAGCCTTTCCTTGCTGAGACCATGGTGTTACTCCCCGGCTCTCCATGGAATAGCTTCTTTTTCTTCTTGCATGATAATCAGTTCATTTGAGTTGATAATCAGTTCAATGTGAGACTTACTGTGAATCTTAAAAATATTGGGGTCATCTGATGGCAAAAAGTGACCTTTTTAACCCCTTACCTCTGAAGGTAAATGGTTTCTGTTTTGCTGCTTCCAGCTCTCAGGGAACCACATCCCTTCACTTGAGCTTTCTTTGTGTATTTTTTTGTATATTATTTGTATTCTTTGGCATATGGTAAGTATTTAATAAATACTTGATAGAATGATTCATGATCTGAACTAGCTGAAGCCTTCAGATTCTTTTTCTTTCTTCCTTAGATCTTCAACCTCATGAAGTATGACAGCTACAGCCGCTTCTTAAAGTCTGACTTGTTTTTAAAACACAAGCGAACTGAGGAGGAGGAGGAAGATCAGCCTGATGCTCAGACTTCAGCTAAACGAGCTTCCAGAATTTATAACACATGATCCCCGAGAATGCCAGGACTGCTGCCTTCACAGAGCAGAGGGACTTATTCTCAGAACTGTGCAGGATTGTCATTGCTTTGTAATGTGCAAAGATGGGAATGTACAAAACCCCCGAGTGGGATATGTGTATTTTATTAACTGCTTGGCCAGTCAGTTTTGCATGATGACTAATCTTACATAAAAAAAAAAAGCTTTGAAATTTCAGTTCACAAAACAGAAATTCCTTCAATATTGGACACTGGGAGCATTTCACAGCTTGATTAAACTATATGAGGCCACAAGGTGAAATATACAGCCACATGTACCTTACAAGCCTTGCTCTGGCTCTCTTGTGAGGGTGTGTGTGTGTCCTCAGATTCCTTTGGCAAAGTAACTGAAGCCTGAGTTGATCTGACAAACTCAGGCTGCAGGAGGCTATTGTCTGTCAGTTGCCTGTTGGCTCAAATACTTACCAAGAGCAAGTTCAGTGCTGGAAAAAGAAAGCGAATCCCTGGCAGCTGCTAAAGATTGGGGCTGTTGAAGTGTGAGCATGACCAAAGGGTTATCATTTCTTGTGTGAATGTGTGCTGGCCCTGGTTTTTCCCACAATGCATGGCATTTCATGCAATGCAGATAAATAGCTGATCTTGACAGAAACAAGGTCTCAGCTAGGAAAGGAAAGACAGTGGGGCATTGTTCAGGGTGTCTAAGGCAGCTCCAGGGGGTGTCAAGTGGGACTGTATAGCACCAGGTGTGTGCCGAAGATGAGGTTGGTGGGGTGTGTTTCCAGCATCTCTCCCCTCTGGGAGTGACCCTTTCTCCTTGCTCTTGGAGACACTGCCAGGGGAGCATGCTTGGCCCAGTGGTCCCAGCAAGACGAGGTAACTCCTCTTTTAAAGGGACCTAGGTCAGGCTCAACTCCCTTCAGCTGCTGTGGCTGCTTCCATAGACCTGGATGCTGCTGCCAGCCCTTCCAGGAGTATTTGCTAAGCCTTAAGGTGCGATTTGTACAAACAAAGCAACAAGCCCCTGTTGCTTGTAAGCCTCCACATCCAGGCTTCCCCACTTGGAAAATTCCCTGATGTTGAAGTGATTATAATTTGTCTATCAAACCAAGAAGCTTTCAAGAGCAAAGGGAAAGGTGGGGCATGGTGGCACATGCCTGGAATTGTAGCACTCAGGAGGCTGAGGCAGGAAGATTGCTGTGAGTTTGAAGCCAGCCTGGGCTACATAGTGAGACCCTGTCTCAACTGAGATGGGGAGGGGGAAGGGAAGAGAGAGACTCGCAGTAGTTTTAATAATGATATTGGGATAATGTTTATTATAAACCAGTTTGTACAGTCACTCTATTCATGACCTTCTCTTATGAGACATCTTGGGAGTGCCCCATATTCCGTAGGCTGATTGTCCATTTGCTGTGATCCAGTGCTGCCCGTCCTTTCTTCTTGGGCCTGGAGAAGGGATGGCTTTGGTCAGCCATTCACTGCTGCAAACCCAGTAGCCCGCAGAGCAGTCGTGAGGAACAGCAAATGCAGGTGTTCTCGGCTCTCCTCAGGTGCTTCCCAGCCAGGCCTTCTGCATCTCTCTTCATGCCAATCCCTAGGGAGTGAGACAGCGCGGTTAAGAAAGGGATCCCTCTATTTCTCAATAGAGAAGTACAGTCCTTGCCCAACAGAGTAGATTGACATTCTAAAAAGTACAGGCAAAGCCAGGGATGTAGCTCAGCAGTACAGATGCCTGCCTGGTAAGTGCTAGGTCCTGCGTTTGATTCCAGGACCTGGGGGGGCGGGTGTGGAGGAGTGAAAAACAACATGATTTTCTTGCTTGACTTTCACTTGATTGGCTATGAACGTCCAGGGATACAGCTGTGGGGATATGTGGGCAGCGGGCCAGCTCCTTTTTGAGAGCCCAGCCTGGACAGAGGCTTTTCCCCCTTCACTGTGGGGCTCAGAGACCTTTTTATATAACAATGTCTTTATAAGGCTCCAAGTGAAGAAAATAGAAGGTCAACAGCCCTTCCCCGCTTGCTCTTTCTGACCGGCTGCAGCGCTGAAGCATATACACAATTAACTTCTCTGAAGCTGTTGCAAAAGTGAGACTGAAGTGTAAGGGGTTGTGCACCCAAATAATGCGCTCATCTCGTCCTTCACTTACATCTGTATGTCTGTCTATCCATCTATTCACTTACACATCCACCCACCCAATTAGTGTTTAAATTCTGTCTGCAGTGTTCTAGGAATTGTCTGAGGTGCCAGGATTCAGAGTGTATGTGTAAAACCGCCACGATGATTCATGCTCCAGTGGGATTTATAGGTGTCTTAAAGTTGTAAGTTTTGTTATTATTCAAGTGTTGAGCAAGGCCAACAGGTTGGAAATAATTCCACTGCAGAGTTTGCTACTCAGTTCTTTAGAAGAGTGGGACAAATTGTGTCGTGTGAGGCCACGTGGGGATGCACAGGAGGCAGAACAAGGGGAAATGCAGGTAGCAGCCTTTATTGTGATTTCCTTGGGGAAGACAAGTGACATCAGTAGGCTGAGGAATAGTTAGTTTGCAGGATTTTATTGGACTCTGGGATATAAAGACTGTCCCCAGTTGTGTGTGACCTGGGCCACGGTTGATGAAGGCAGGCACATAATGGCTCAGAGGATGAGAGTCTGGTAAAGGAGATGTGCAAAGCTTATCTACTCTAGTTTGCAAATTAAGAGCATGCTCCAGGTATTTGCCATCGAGGAGTGAGCCACCCTGGAGAGGGCAGCCCCTCCAGGGCCAGCAAGGCTCCAGATGTCTAAGCATCAGAAGAAGAAGGCAATGCGTATAGTGCGAGGCCAGTGCTCTGCCACAGCCACATCTGCAGCCTTAGGGTATACGCTTTAAATCTTGCACTGCAGATGCCTTAGGCAGAGTGTCCTTTCTCTTTGGCCTGTCTCTGATTGCCAATCACAGCTACTGGCCCCTTCAGCCTGAAGTAGCCAGAATGGTCATCGCCCCTTGCCCCTCTTATTCAGAGGGAGAATATTATAGACAGCTAAGTTATAAATAAACATAGGTAATCAGGGAGTGCTGGGCCCTCCAGAGAGGTAAGACAAGTAAAAATGCACTACAACTATGCCCTGAGGTGCCTCAGTTAGAGACCAGACCTACATACTCCCCAAGGGATAAGTGATAACACTTGGTCTAGTAAAATCTAGATAGGCATCGGTCACCTCAGTGGGCAACCAAGATCTCCAGATCCCTCACCTACCTGAAAAGTTCTCTGTTCTTTCCATGCCCACTTGCTGTGAGACTTGCTTCCCCATCAGATCAGTATTACTTAAGCTGCTATACTTACAATCTTTGGTTGAATACAGCTGTAACCCACATTGTACCTTTGTGGTTGAGCTCCATAAAACTTCCCCTGAAAAGTGGGGTCCTTGGGCAACCCACTTTCTGGTTGTCCCCTCCTGTCCTTCTCAGGCAGGAGCTTTCTATTCTTCAATAAATATTTCCTACTCTTAACCTCCATTGTTCCTAGAATTAATTCTTCAGTTTTAGAGAGCATGAACTTGGTGCATTGGACATCTGACAGGTTGGGAGTTGTAATATTTCCCTTATATCCTGTTTGGCGGTTCTGCTATCATCCCTGGTTGGCCGCAGGCCCCTCCATTCCCTATTACATGACAGCAGGCCCCTCCCATGTTAATGTTATCTGTTAGCTGGTAGTTTGCACTCTGATCTCCACTTCCCAACTGCAGAGAGCACAGCTGGATGACCTGTTTCTCTGACTGCAGTTACTCACTGTCAGTCCTGAGCTGCTCTGCTGTCCTGCATGGCTTCTGGAAAGTAAGCTGTGGTCTGTTTCCTGCTCATGGCCTGCACTATCCTGCCTTCGCTGTGGCAGAATTCCCCACCGAAGTGTGAAAGTAATCGCTCACACTGGCAGAGCACCTTTCCAGTACTTCCTTCTCTTCGTCTCATCTACAAAGAAATTTTAGATGAGCACAGTTGAGATAAGAACGACAACATGAATGGTGTACACAAGCACATGCATGTGGAGCAGAGTAATGCTGAAATCCAATCTGTGTCCTGGTCAGCTGTCTTTTCAGTTCTTCTATTTCTCGGATGAACTGCGGAAAGTCCAGAGTGAGATGAATATTGGGCCTGTGGCAAGCATGCTTATTTATTCACACAGAGATAGTTAATGAACACTACGTCATAAGCCAAACAGTGACTGTAAGAGTGTTGATGGAGGAAAGGATGAGGCATTAACTTTTCCTTCAAAGGGCCAAGATGTCAGACACAAATTTTCCCTAAAATCTGCTATATGAAAGAAAATGACTAGCCCGTGACACATGGGTCCACGGCACATGACTGGCTTATGTTCATCTCTTACACTCCCATACTGGATTGTTCTGCCTTTCTCCTAAATCTCAGGATGTTAAACTGCATGTTGGCATGCTGTGAAGTCATTTCTTTCAGAAAACATGAGAATGAGTCCTCTGAGACCTCAGACACAGAGGAGATGGCCTGTCTGCTAATTTCCCCCTGGCTCTGCTGACAAGGACACTCATCCTTCCTCGTGCTGCAGAGTCAGGGCTGATTCATTGGTACCCAGCTCCCAGGCCCAGCTCTGAAGCTGGGAGGACACTTTGTTTACGGAGTTTGAAAACTAGGCAAACACAGTCATGGCTCATACTCTGTCATTATTTACTTTCATTTTGACTGTGGATATTCTAGAACTTAATTTCTAAATGGACTTGTATCATGAGGTTGTGGGGATTTTTAAATTGCTTCACAGTTAGTTGGGTACATTTCAGTGAGTACTGTAAAAGGCTGGTGGGCTGGACAAGGAGGGAGGATGTCTCCTTGCTGAAATGGCCCCAAACCTTGGGCAGAGCCCAGGGCTCTCCTATGGGATTCTCATAGGGAAGATGAACATTTCAAGTCCAAAATCACCTATGCAGAAAGCTAAGGGCCCACTCATTGGGGCTTCCAAGGGAGTATCTTGCATGGGGTTTCTGTGATGGGCTTTTGGCCAGCGAGATGGTCTTGGTGATGGATCTGCCTTCGAGTATTAGCCTTCGAGTCAGCGCTTACATGGGAAAAGATTTACCCCAGGACACATAATTTATAGAATTATTCTATAATATTCACCCAGAAAGTCAAATGCAAAAGAGTGCAGGAGATTTGTTTACACACTAAAGACCCAAAAAATATGGTTGAGAGCCTGGATCCTACCTCAGTGTTCTGCATGAGTCCAGCCTGTGGTCCATGGCAATGTCTCTTGCAAGTCTGAATCAAGGATCTGCACTGGGAAGGCCCAAAGGTCAATGGTAGAAGCTAGAAAGTCTGCACTAGCCACCAGGTTGAGGGATCTGCACTGGAGACAGGAAGCAATGTTCAAGGTAAGGATCAGAATTCTCCTGAAAGGACTCATAGCCGTCCTGGGTGACAGTGAGGACCTGAGCTCCTCCTGTGATAATAGATGAGTTCATATGAGCGTGGCAAGCTTCTCCAGGAAGAGCAACAGTGCACCATCTTCCCCTCCAGTTCTGCCTTTATGCCGTGGGCAATAATCCTCAGGGGGGCCTTCCACACCCAGCACCATGCTGATCCAGTTTGGCTGGGTTTTACAAGTTGCCCACTAATTAATGTACCACTTGGAGAAAGGAGGCCCTTTTCTGATTCCCAAAAAGCTACTAGGTAGGAACAGCTGGAAGAAGTCACCATATCTACTCTCTTCCTGAATTTTGACACATGAGCCCTTAGTAAGTCCTCTAGACTGTTTTCTGAGACATAGTTGGATTGCACCCAGGCCTACCATCTCCTTTGCCACAGCCCTTACTAAGCTGCTTAGTCCCTGACTGTGTGGGTAGCGGCTTCCCTGTCATTCTTTGTTTCCCACTCCACACCCCCATTTGTCCTTAGCTGGGCACACACCTGTCATAGCAGGTGAGGGCTTGAATGCATGGGCTGCATAGTGAGACCCCGTCTCAAACGCGTGCATACACACACACACACACACACACACACACACACACACACACACACATGCACTCACCTGGCCACCTGCTTACTCTGCTCAAGTTCCTTCTGTGCCTTTTCCTTAGTCTTAGAACAAAAACTTAGGGGCTGGGGATTTAGCTCAGTGGCATACGCGCCTGCCTTGTAAGCAGGCAGTCGTGTGTTCGATCCCTGGTACCGATAAAAACGAAAAAGACAAAAACAAAACAAAACAAAACAAAAACAAAAAAAAAAACAAAACAAAATAAAAACTTAGTCTGTCATTGTGGTTCATGGCTTTAAGACCAGGGAGGTCTGAGCCCAGCCCCTCTGTCCCCACCAAGGGTTCCTCTTCTTGGCCTCATGATCCTTTGCATGGCTGCTTGCTGCTGCCTGTGCTCAGAATGACTGCTCCTGACCTTGAAAGCTGCTCCTTTTTGTCCCAAGTGGTACATTTCCAGGACAGTACATTCCCACGGCCCCTTCAAAGTAACCCCTCTGCCTTTGACCTCTCCTGGAGTCTTCAGAGCCCTGGCACATGGCTGGTTACCTGTTCCTAGTTTGTGACCTGTCCCCCTAGGACAAGGACTGGGTCTGTTTCCTGTAGCCACATCACAGGCACTCTGGAAACAGAAGCAGAAAGGGCCAGGACCTAACATTTGAATGACCCCACTCACAGCCTGACATTGGTGCCCGTTGGGAAAAGCCAAGCCATGTTTTTGTCATAACAAGGCAGATCAGAGGATTAGAGGGTCCCAACCACTTCCTGAGTCCTCCCACACGCTGGGCCTTGCACATCACAGATGCCATCACCCTTCTGCAGCAGGTGTGACTGCTACCGGCCAGTGGGGAATTGGTTTTCAGAGTCACTGAATCTGTCACAAGTCACAGAGGCTGAGTCACTGGTGCCCAGACAGATACCCCAGGGCACCCCCTTTCATCAGGCTGGGCCAGGTCAGGCAAGTCTTTGGCCATTCCATCTAGAAAACGTGACTGTCTTAGAGAGAAGGCTGCCCCACCCCATCTTGGCTCCATCTTCTCTTTCTTCTGCAGAACGCACATAGGGGCTTGATCCTCACCAGGGAGGTAGAGTTGATGCTCCTTTAAAAAATCTGATTTCGTGTTTGCAACCAGCTTTTTCTTTCCTTTAGTGATATATCATGAGCATCTTTCCACGCCAATAAACATAATTATCCACCATCCAAAAAAAAAAGTCCTGTTTTGAGATTATCTAGAAGATAAATGTTTCCCTTGTGCTAATTCCAGCACAGTTTATATGCTGTTTTGCAACATAGGCAAACTGTTTTCTTCTTATTTAAGCATTTAAACTCTGTTTTTTAAACTGTTATGGCATACTGATTGCCTCAGGGTAACAGATGTCTGCCTGATAGAGTTGTTTCCCAGGAAAAGAATTTGCTGTTTCTTGGTCTCCAGAGGAAGGGTGACTTTGCAAGTATGTGGCTTTTGGTCCACTTGTCACCTCACTCAACCTCTGAGGAAAGGGGGAACAAATTACAGTGTGGCAGACTGCCGTGATAACCATCTATATTTACAGATCGTGGCTGATTACAGAGGTGAGAGCCTGTCTGGTCTCCTGAGGCTGCCCTTGCCCTCCCCTCTTGGAGGAAGTTTTTCTCTTGCATTTTCCTAGGCGGACAGAGGTCACTTGTTATGATCCAGAGACACAAAAATGTGTGTGCATCTTTACCATATTTTCAGGATCCCCAAACTCTTAGCCAGGGAAGAACCTCTGCCAATCATCATCATTACTTTGCCATTGGTTAGCATGAAAACCTTGGTTATGATCATGCCAGAACATCTACTGCCTGAATTCTAACCCAACACCATCTATTATGAGCTGTATGATCTTGGGAAAGTCATACTACTTCCCAAGCCCAACTTTCCTCACCTGAAAAGTGAGGAGAATATTATTACCATTGCATTAGTGTGTTTGGACTGCTACCCCAAAATACCTTAGACTGGGTAAGTTATAAATAATAGAAATGTATTGCTTAGGGCTGGAGATTTAGCTCAGCGGCATAAGCGCCTGCCTTGCAAGCAGGCAGTCGTGAGTTCAATCCCTGGTACCAATAAAAAGGAAAAAGACAAAAAAAAAAAAAAAAAAAAAAAAAAAAAAAAAAAAGAAAAAAGAAAAAGAAATGTATTGCTCACAGTTTTAGGGATGGAGAAGTCCAAGGTCAAGGTACCAGTAGATTAGACTCGGTGAGAAGGCATTCATAGAGGGTGTCTTCTCACGGTGTCCTCATATGCTGAAAGAGGCAAAAGGGTCCCTTGGGAGCCTCTTTTACAAGGACACTAATTCTGTCCTGAGGTCAGAGTTCTTGTGACCTAAACCCCTCCCTTAAAGGCCTCCATCTTTTAATACCATACATTGGGAATTAGATTTTTTTTTTTTTTTTGTCTTTTTTGAGACGGGGTCTCGCTATGCAGTTCAGGCTGGCCTTGAGCTCACTTTGTAGCCCAGGCTGGTCTCGAACTTGCAACGATCCTCCCAC